AATTTTGGAAAGTTTTGGGGCCGAGATTGGAGAGTTCGCGGGAAAGATGGGCCCCCACTGGTTTTGAAGGGCCCCCTTTTGGGGAGGTGGCCATAAGTTTTGGCCAGTTTACATGGTTGGGTTCAGGGCCAAGAGGCCCCCGGGGCCCTTTCATGCACGATACTCCATCAATATATGACGGGATGTGCCGTGCATGGGAGGGTCACTGATGTCAGTAGACGATTGTGAATGAGGAGGGGAAAGTGAAAATATCGGAGACTACTGGCTTAGGAATACTACTGGCTTAGGGAGACTGCTGGCTTAGGGAGACTGCTGGCTTAGGGAGACTACTGGCTTAGGGAGACTGCTGGTTTAGGGAGACTGCTGGCTTAGGGAGACTACTGGTTTACGGAGACTGCTGGCTTAGGGAGACTGCTGGCTTAGGGAGACTGCTGGCTTAGGGAGACTGCTGGCTTAGGGGGAAGCGATGCTAAGTTCTGGTGCACCTGAGACAAAAAGAGGCGTGCGACAGAAATGTCCTGGGACAAAAAGAGGCGTGCAACAAAATCAGCAGTGCGACAGAAATGTAAAGAGGCTTGCAACAAAGAAAGCACTGACTAGTAAAAGAAAATAGGAAGGTAAAAGATCAAAAATGTAGGAAAGATTTTCAAAAGTCCAAAAAGTCAAAACAAAACTAAATTCAACAGTTCCTGAACCAACAGGGTGCCCGAAATAGCCGCTGGAGACCCACCGATTACAGCGCTAAAAGCAACTAGCGTGAGTAGCAGGTCAAGAAGCCGCCCAGGATAAACCTTGCAGTGGAACTGGTGAGAATTCTCCAACTAGTCACCCTTTTGCGCATGGTTGCCTTATTCCACGCATATCGTGCAATGGGACGACACGGGAAGAAAATATTTGACATGGTGGCAGACTGATGAGAGAAAGCGGGTAAAGTACGCACTATGGGGCCACGGTTTCTTAATCACTAAACGTGTCCCTAAATGATGTCATCGTCATTGTTAGAGAACCTTGCAAATAGGGCTCGTTGTAGAGAGGAAAACATATTCATTTTGGCCGTTGGGTCCTTTGGTCGCCACACGACCACAGAAATCGGTTCAATGGCCTATGCCGTCCACCGATGGATTACCGTTTTCCCATATTGCCAATGTACCACGTGACATTTACTGCCACGTGATTTTCGTTGGGAAGATCCCTTCTAGTTTATCTCAGTTCCTCAGCCACTTCGCTTCGTAAAATTATAAGCTAACTCCTTTTGACTTCTGCCAAGTGCTGAGATCTTCTGGACCAATCATAATCTACATGGCTTAAACTAGTCTTAATTAGGAAGGAGGAAAATTTTCCTTCGCGAAGCGTCTGAGAAAGAACGGTCGCGCGTTGTTAGTAACCCCGGGTCATTTTGAAGGGATGGCCAACTTTGCTCCATGCGCCAACTCCATCCTTATCAATTGACACAATTCGGCATAGTAAGGGAGATTTGTCTATCAAAAAGCTATAGAACACACTATTTTTTATTATGATAGGAGCCCTTTTGAGGTACGAACAACCGTGTCAAAAATGGTCACTTCGTGTTTTTTCACCAGAATGTATACTGATTTTTCAAAAATAATCTATAGATTCTCAACCACATATCCTATCAGCAAGATAAACATACTCGGATGCTCAGAATTAAGCCTAGAATGTCCGACTACCAACAAATAACATTCTCTTGATGATACTACCTCTCAGTCAGACCATCTGGTTTCTGTGGCACAAAGTAGGGTTATACCTTACACAGTGAACCCCTGCAAACCTCTGCGACCTCCCATAGGCTTCTATGAGCTCCTGATAATATCTTCCAATTATTGAGAATCCTGTGAGATGGTTCGTGGCAAATCAGACCCCACACCAGACCGTCGGAAACGGCGAAGTCGACATCAAATACGGCACAGAAGGGCTGCACTGGCAGAGCCACAAGACATTGAAACAACATTATCACCTAGCGCTCTAGATGCTATATTAGTGATGGATATCCAAAGTATGCCTGAATTAATTGGGAAATACTCACATCCAGACCATGTTAAGCAGCAGTATGGTGTGATTGAGGCATGTCTGAAGCGGCTGCTAAGAGATGGAAAGCCAGAGAGTACCCTCTGTCCTCATCCAGAACAGGTCCGTACTGTACGGCGATTAATATATGGATATGGTGACACTCTGTTTATTGCGCGGACTGGGTTTGGCAAAAGCCTTATTCTTCATTCCTATTCAATATTAACAGGAAGGATAACCATCCAACTTGTTCCATTGACTGGACTTGGTGAGCAGCAACAACGGGATATTGCTGAATTCCCAGGGGCACGGCCTTGTATGATCACTGCAGACTCCAAGAGAGCTGAACACTCATGGTTGCAGTCCATTCAACGGGGGTTATATACCCATGTTCTTCTCAGCCCAGAGCAGGCTCTCTCCAAGGTCTTTAAGGGAGCCTTGATGAAGCCTGACTTCCAAGCACGGATTGGACTTGTGGCTATTGATGAATGCCATCTTATACATCAGTGGAAGAACTTCCGTACACAATTTGCTATGCTGGGACAGTTAAGGCTCTTACTTCGTGAGGATATTGTCTGGTTTGGCTGTACAGCAACAGCCAGCAGTGCATGTGAGAAAGATATCCTATTGAATGGTGGATTCCGAGCAATTGGTAACAAGCCTTGTGAGACTGAGATAATCCGAACATCTATCGATCGACCAGCCATAAATTGTGTGAAATCCTGCAACCTGCTGATAGTGCCACGGTTGCGACGAGGGCCTTGTTTTTGAACATAGTATCGGCGTTGGGAAGGACTGTTGTTGGACTCATTGTCTAATCCAGAAGATTCCTCAGTATCATCCACTGTCTCATAACCATCATTGATGTCTGATGAAGGAGGAGGTGATGATAACTCAGAAGAGTATGCGCCGGACGTGAGGTCAAAGAGGCCAAATGAGGAGGTATTTTCAACTGGAGTTTCCATGCTGGTATTAGGCTGTGATAACTTTTAGGATAGTACAAGTTGTAGATAATATATAAAAGAATTGAATGGTATGGTTTTCAGTCAGAAAACCTGTGTGGTTGATGTCGATGTATGCCTTCGCAGATAGAGGATGAATTTGTATGGTGGAGATTTTCAGTATCACCAGAGGGGCGACCGTTCTTTCTCAGACTCTCTACGAGATATTTTTTGTTGCTTACGTTGCTGTGTTCTCATTGGTGCAGAAGTTAGCAGGACTTGGCAGGTATTCAAAGGAGTTAGTCTGTGGCTAGTTTGCAACGAAAATATCTTGAGAGAGGCTGAGGCACTGAGATAAAGCATATCCTGGAACCAGCGTGCGCAAACTGCAACAAGCCGCCATCGAATATCTAGACATGGTTAAAGTGACCGCTCCTCTATTGGCTAGTACACGTGCGACTCGAACGATGTTTTTGATAAGGGTCAGTCAGTAACCGCGATCGAGATGCAGGAATCGAATCGATCTCTGCTTCCCTGCTCTTCCCCAGCCTATGACACAAACGTCGCAAATAGTCACATTCCTTGGTCAATCTCTCAATCGTCTCCTGCATTTCCTCCACCTTAGCCTTCTTGCGCTGGCGGAACCTTTTAGAAGCGCGGCTATTCAGTCGTCGTTTCTCCGCCGCTCTCCGTGACCCGGATTCCAGATCGATATCGATTGTACCAAGCCATATTTGCGCCGATTCTGTTGCTGTCTGGAGCATTGGAGGATTTCGTATCGGGTGTGGCCGGACAGCTTCTAAGTGAGCTAGAGAATGTCTCAACCCACCCTGTTGCAGTGCAGGAATAAGAGCGGGATACTGCTGTTGATTGCATGGTGTTGAGGTTGAGGACATCTGTGTCTGGCGTTGTGTCGTACTTTCATGAAAGTAATGATCAGCCGCAGCGAGTGTATTGGGGGCCTGCGTTGAACCCTTTGCATGGGAGGGTACCGGTACCAGCAATTTGGCCGGCCATGGAGGGTTGATATGTCTTCGTAGAAAGTGCCTTGTAAGCGATCCGGCTGTTGCGTATTTCATAATGCGGTCCTCCAGCGCGCAACTAGGATTCCCAACGCAGAGAAAGCAAACGCGAGGCCGAAAGCAGGTCTGAGGCTGTTCAGCTGTAGACTTGGCCTGCACAGACTCCATTGCTTGGTGCAAGAGGACCTCAGTGTTATCCTTTACCGAGCACCTCTGCCGCTTGGTCGGAGGACAAGGGTCATCATCGACCGCGGGCCTGCCACGGGTCTGCGTGGGCCGGCGCGAGGGCCGCCCTTCCTCCACGCCACAGAATGCAACCCCTGCGTTGATTGTGTTGATCCTCCGCTGATATTCCGCTTCAAGATTAGCGCCCGGCATGGTCAGCACGCAGTCAACAAACATCAAGTGCTCGGGAGGCATGAAGGCCTCGTGCTCGAAAGTGTCCATGACTTTGGTATCCACCAGCTTCCCGGCCAGTTGTCGTTCAAGGTCAATCACAGGCTGCTCATTCTTATAGCGCTCAAGGTTCTCACGGATCTGTCGGTTCCGCTGCCGCTGCTTCTCGTTGCGCAACTCACGGGTAGCCTTGTTGTGCTCCGACTTTGCTTCTGCTGTCCGATCACGGAAAACTTCCAGTCTCTCCAGCACCTCAGGGTTGGACTCGGCGAGTACTCTGTCGTCAAGGTGCCCTAGAGAAGTCTTGCATACCCTGTTGGCACGTTCTAACTCGGCTTCACGATCCTCCCATTCCCGCTTGCGCTTCTGGACAGTATCCTGACGGCCACGGACAACTGGAAGGTAATTGACGGACCGTGATTCTTCTGGAGAGAGCTTATACGGTCGGTTGGGGTCGATGGATGCACTCATCGAGCAGGCAAATTGCACCAATGCTGTTTGGGAGCCTGTTTTCCGGACTATTCCCTGCGCGTCAACGTCGACGTCCACCTGATAATGCTTGACGAAGGTGCGAATATCCGCGTGCTGGAGCATGATGTTCTGAAGAGCCTCCGTAACTTCCTCTGTTCATCGTTAGCCCTCCGACATGACTGCAACATGAAGAAAACGGAGGGCTACTTACCGCTGTTGTTAAATGCCTTAGCTCCAGCATATCGGAGGTTGTACGGGTGGGCGACCTCCTCAAAGCCCGTGATCTCACCGGCTCGGCGCATCCGGGAACTCACCATGGATGGAGTCATCCTCTGATCCAAGCAAATTTTAAATCCGGTGGATGTTGGCTCCGTCTGGCAAAACACAAACTTATCCAGTAATTCATCCTTTAGTAGTAGCGGCTGCTGTCCCTTTGCCATCCAGCACCTTGGCGCTGTAGAGTTTCTCTGCGCAATCCAACACTGGTCCACTTGTTGAAATTGACTTGAATCCTCCAATGTGAAAGAGCATAGTCAGCAGGCAGATATGCGGGCTGAGAACCAGGGTCGGATCAAAGATGATTTCCGGAATCTTAAACTCATTCCTATCAATTCTGTCAGTCAACCAGGCCATGCCGCGAGGATCAGAAACACATACGGTGCCTTATCTCCGAGAAATCTTTTAGTAAACTCTGGTTTTAAGAATATGAACAATCGGGGGCGTCCGCCGTCTGGAACTCGGATCAGGGTTAACACGACGTCTCGATACCGAAGATGGAGGATCGCCGAGGGACGGCTGGCGGTGATGGCCGCAAGCTGCAAGAAGAGAAGCATTTGAATGCGCTGCCAACCGCAGACAAATGTCATCTCAGTGGTGGTGAGAACGACTTGAGCGAACTCAGCAACATCTTCAATATACATGTTCTTCTTTGGCCGCCCAACAAGAGCCAGCTCTTTTTCTGTGGCCACCTGTGCAACAACCTGCAAGAGATCAGTGGTGCTTCTGGCTAAGTGATCCGAGGAGAGAGAGTATGGGTGCTCACATCCTCCACCTTGACAATTGTATCTTTGCTGAGTCCCGATGCCGTTTCCTGTTTGAGGACAAGGTGCCACCACTTCCAAAATGTCTCCAGTGAGCTTTTGCGCTTGATGCCCGGACAGTATCGATTGTTCTTGCCACGACGGATATCACACCGCCAGCTAAAGAATGCATACAGGAAGCGAACCGTCTCCTCTGAATTAGAGATCCGATCCCATTGCCGCTCCGCGTTAGCCTTGATGTGCCGACAATACCTGCCCAGCGCCACTGGTGAGCTTATAACACAGTCTCAGGGTCAAATGAGCCACTGACTACCTCTCCCAGTAACCACGGGTCTCATCGAGTTTTTCCTGGGTTCTGGGGCTGTACGGCTTCTGTCGAAGCTGAGCGATATCAAGGCTCTCTGCTAAGGCCAGGTAGTGTTCGGGGGGAAGCTGGCCGTCGTCGTCGTCTTCATCGTCGCCGACGGAGCCACTTTCATACCCACTGTCTGAAAAGATGGCATCCAGCGCGGAGAGGGTATCCAGAGCAGACCTGACATCCGTCTTGCTCCTGCTCTGCTTGTCAGGCCCGGCCAAACAAGAGAGAGGCGCCATGATCAGGACGGCCCAAGGAGAGAGCCGACAGGAGAGAGGGACAGGAACAAGTAATGAAAGACTTAGACGCTTTCCTGTATAGAACTGGCCCGGTAGTGCTGCGAAGGAGGGGAGGGAAGGGAGCCGCAGACGGCATGGTGAGAGTGACGGGGACTGTAGGCAGAGAGAATAACAGGATCCATGATCTGGGGAGGGAGCCAAATCCGACAGAGTGAAGCGTCAAAAACGGCTCCCCTCCCCCCCAAAAGAAGGGCAGTGGGTGCGCGAGGGTGAGCGAGGGTGGTGACTGGAAGCCACGAAAATGCACTTTTAAAATCGTGGCCACGCGTGGAGGGAAGGGTCGCGGCCGTGGGGATAGATTCACGTGATGATCGAGGTTGGGCGGTTAGCGGGAGGCCGAAAGCAGCGGCGAAAACAGCCATTTGCAGCCTCCGGCCAACCGTCACATCGTTATATGGAGTAATATTATAAAATTAATATAAAAATTCTAAATAAAATATAATTAAATTTCAAAACAACTTATTAAACAAAATAAAATGAAATCTTGAAAAATTATATAAAACTTTTAAAAAATTAAAAATTATTTTATTTTATAATTAAAATGATTGAATATACAAATTTTGTAAATAAAGATTTAATTTTTTCAGATATTGATTTAATAATGATAATTTTATTTCTATCATTTAATATTAATAATAATGATAAAATTGGAAAGTGG